GCCTTTAACCCGTTCCTACAGGAGAAAATTGAACTCAAATGTTGTAAGTAGCTAAACGGACCTTAGCTCTGAAATCAATCCACTCAAACTCCTACACATAAAAGATTTCCTTTAAATACCCCTTTCATACTCATAATCTCTTAAGGGTCAACTTTAGTCAAAGTCAAAGTCAACACCCTGGTCAAAGTCAACATTTTGGGCTAACTTAACTCGCCGAGTTGGCCCATCAATTCGTCGATTTCCATAAATCAGAAAACCCTGAAATCGCGATCTAACTCGTCGAGTTCCTCCTATCAAGAGAATCGGGACTTTCCCCACTCAGCTCGTCGAATTTGCCTAAAACTTGGCGAGTCCTTCTTTTTACAGAATCGGGAAATTTTGACCCAAATCGTCGAGTTCTTCAGTGTGTTAAGCTTTCTTAATGGATTAAGTCATTAATCTTCAAATCTAAGCTCCATACATTAAGTATAGGCTGGAAATGTCCTTAGAAGGGAAAAGTTTCCAACTATACCCGTTAATACCCTTCTCCAAGATATTTATCTCAAACCCTAACTCTAGAAGATCTAGATCTTGTAGATATTGAATAGTTTTGTGAGGTGTCGAAGGTCATGGATAGATTTGATAGTTTGTTATTTTATTCTATGGGCACTTTATGTATCAAAGTTTTAAGTGTTCAGTCCCTTATATTTTTTTATGTGCTTTCATGATCCCTATATATATGGGATGTGTGTTACAGACAGATAAGAACTTTCGTCATTTTTGTCTAAAACTCTCTGTACATACTGAAAGCATAATTTAGCTAAACAGACTTTATTTAGATCTCGTGTTCATCATTCTTACTTTACTCTGATCTCATAATTCATATTCGATTTCATTATAACTACATTTGGTATCAGAGCAGGATTCATGTAGAATTGATCTATTTTTTGAGTTTTTGCAAAAGTTTTTAGTCTCGTTTTAGATCTCAATTTTCCGCTCTTTTGTTTTAGAAAATCAATCTAGATCATCTGTTGTGATTCAATTTTGCACTCTAGTTGTAAAATCGAGTGTTCGATAGTTGAATTATAAGTGTTTTAACTGTTTGATCTCAATTTGATTTGAACTTTTCTCAAAATTTTCTATACAACAATGGAAAACTTTAACATGAACACAATGACTTCTTACTCTCATCTCCTTGGTTCATCAACGAAGATCCGATGTTAATTCCTAAGTTCTACGATCAATAGCTGATCGAATAGAGGATTATTTGAATGGAATTGATGAACTTTGGAATTGTATTCTCAATGACGTTCGTCCTCCTGTTGTTGTTCAGAGTATTGCAACTTCTTCTAACAATCAAAATGTCAGTGAACAGTCTGAGAGATTGTTGAAGAATGAAAAGAAGTGTATGCGTGAACTCAGAGGTTCTCTTCCTCCAGTTGTGTACAATTATGTGCGTGACTGTAAGACTGCAAAAGAGATTTAGGATACTTTGAAGGGAAAGTATCAAGGAAGTGAAAAAAAAAAAAAGAAGATAAGTGCAGTCAAACAATTTCTGTTTGAATTAGGAGAGTTCAAACAAAAAGAAGGAGAGTCTATTGAATCTTATTATGATAGTCTGAATGAGCTTTTTTTCAAATGTAACCGATATGGAGTCATATGATCAACAATGGAGTTCAATCTCACTTTCATCATGGGTCTTCGGAAAGAATGGAGAAATGTAAGCCTGATGATAAAGACACAACAAAGTTTTGATTACTTTTCTCTGAATGATCTTTACAATGTGATCGATGAAAGGACATGAATCCGAAGTGAATGAAATTGTTGAGGAATCAAAGATCAGCTTAGGAGGTCCACTTGCTCTTATGTCGAAGGTTACTGGAAGAGAAGCTAAGAAAGAGGTTGCTGAGAAGGAGAATTCGAAAGATGAAGGTCTGATCGTCAACTGATGACAAAGCCATGTCACTTTACTCAAACAATCGAGTAAAGAAATTTTTCAGAAGCCTTTCAATGCAAAGTCGAAAACAAGTGAAGTGAAGGGGAGTTTTGCTGGAAAATTTGGGATTGATGAGAAGAAAGTTGAGAAAAGGAAGTTCGTGTTGAGGAAGAGAAGAAAGAGAAAAGGTTGAACGGTGATTATGGAGTCGACTGAAATTACTGCAATGGAGCAAATCATATGGCCAATGACCCAATGTTGCGAAAGCGTGATGCAAAGAAGAACAAGGTATAAGACGAAGCTTACTATGTTGAGAGATTGGAAGAGGTGCGTGCAAAGACAAAGGGATTGTCTCTGGTGGCCAAAGGTATGGATGAAGAAGATGGAACATACCAGATTTGGTGATCTGGTTCCGATGATGACGAGATGTGAAACCCTAATACATGGGGCGATGTTCTCGATGCATGAGGATTAGGACGAAGACAAAGTGACTGGGAAGTGCTTTGTTTCAACTTCCACTTATCAAGCAGTAATGACGTCAAAGGTACATTTGCTTTTACAATCTTTTAATATTCCCTTCAGTGCATATGATTCGATTTTATCTGAGTGTGATGCAGCAATTACGTATGTTAATGATCTACTTATTTCTGCTAGTAATGATGCTAAGAAGTTGAGCACACTATTGTTAGAAACTCATAGGATGTTGGAATCGAAGAAAGTGAAACTAGAATACTTAGATTTACAAATAACAAATCTTATGTGTGATAGGGATAGTTTAAGTGATGATGTTAAGTTGTTAAAACAAAGAAATATCTATTGTAATTCAGCCAAACATTTTATATGGTAAACTGACAACATTGCATCATTCATCGCATATTAGCAAAGAACAGCATAGGAAACTTTTTCCATTTTTAGCATTCGAAAGGGAGAAAATTGACTATATTTCCTATGATTGTGAAGAGATAATTGTTGAATTCGATAGGGTTCCAGATAATACATATGCATATGGTATAGAGATAATTGTCCAACATTATGGCCTACTTATGGCCCAATTTTCCAAACTAGGCCCAAGCCTCTCTAATGGGGCTTATCCTAAGGCCCAATAATTTCTTTCCCATTTGGCCCACGAAGGCCTACAGCAAGTTAGTCCAAGAAATGGCCCAATAAGAACCCAAACCCAATTAGGGTTTTTTCACATAAAATGACGATTAGGATTAAGTGTTTCTTACTTAACCCATTAAGGACTTAATCCATTAAGTCTATCAATCTACTAGGCCATTCATACAATTTAGTCAGACATAATTAAAAAAAATCCAATCTAACAGTCCGGATGCGGGTCCCAACAATTCAAATCTCACATTTCCAAAATTAGGGTTTTACAAACCCTAATTAGGGTTTCCAACCATATAGCATTCATATTAGTCCATTTGTGAAGTTTTGGGTCAAATCAGAGTTTTACTAGGTCAATTAGGGTTAGCTAAGTCGGGCACCACCCACTACCACATCCGGTAATGGTGGTCAACGATGACTCACGGCGGCGGCCACCACCTCGTGGTGGTGGTTATGATTCTACTCCAAATCATGTCTAAGCATCAAATCATACACAAATGCACACCGCCACCAACACGGCGACTGGTGGCGGCAGAATGGGGTGTGTGGTGGCAGTCACCACCTCACGGTGGTGGTGGGGTTTTTTTTCTAGGTTTTTTCGGTTACAAATATATATTTTTACAACATCACACTACTAAACACATGCAATACATCATAACACACACAACCACCACCACACGGCGGCTGGTGGTGACAGGACAAAAATAGAGGTGACAACCACCATGGTTGGCAGCCATGGTGGTTTTCTCAGGGTTTTTCTGGCCAAACGAACTTCCACAATCACACAACAACCAAAACATGCACCCACGCACGAGCAAAACACATACACCGAGCTGTAGCATTTAATCCATGGAGGTGGGCGATCGCGGAGTGACGGGGAACGACTGGTGGCAGATGTGGCTGTGATGTAGCACCGATGATCCGAGAAGAAGTGCCACCGTGAACGACCGCATTAGCAGCAAAAGAAGAAGAATGTGTCGGTCCTTGCGGTTGCACACACGTTTCCGACAGCAGCGACAGTTGAAGGAGAAGAAGGATGGTCCTTAGAGTAGGTTCCTCGACGGTGGTTGCTTGGTGGCCGCTAACTGATCGGAAAATGAGAGTAAAAGGGGTGGTGGCGGCTGGTACTCTCCAAGTGGCGGCTGAGGACGATATTAGGTTTAGGGTTACGAAACATAGGGGTGACAGGTTGTTATGCCCGCTCATTCTTAAAAGTTATACACGTTTACACATTTGGTCCCTCCCCATGAGATCTTTTCCAATTCAAGGGTACAATTTACAAAGCAGCCCCCAACATCTAAGATTCATTACAAATCAAGTCCCAGAAGTTACCATATAGCACCTCCATGACAAATCCTTTTCCACTTAGGTACATAATTTACCCTTTTAGCCCTAACCATCCAAAATCCTTTCATATTAAGTCCAAATGATACCAAACACACCCCGACTTCTGAAATCCTTTTCATATTAAATCCATAATTTACCAAACAACCCTCAAACTTCAAATTATATCGTTTGGCTCCCCGAATCCAACACCCCGCTAAATATTATTGATTTGGCTATAAAATAATAATAAAATTACATCTTGGGGCTTTAGAGTTTATTATTTATTTAATTGATTTTATTTAATTTCAAACGGAGTGTTACATGTTGCGTTTATTTTCATTTGGACCCTTTCCTTTTTTTGTACTCAATATACCATCGAACTTGTTGTTTATGTTTACTATAATCCTTTTGACCGCTGATAGCCGGTCAAAGTGTTATGGTGAACACAAACAAAAAGTTCGATGGTATATTGAGTACAAAAAAGTGGACCAAATGAAAACAAACTCAACAGTTGGTTACCCTTTTAAGTCATTTTCCCCGAAAAGTTAAATGAAACTAAAGTTGCAAAATTATCAAAGAATGCAACTTTCTTTGGCCATAACGTATATGAAGAGCGTTTCGGAGGGGTAACTTCGTTAAAACATGGTCTATGTTATACTTACTGTGGTTAGCTGTCAACACCTCTCTACAAAAGGATATGTCTGTGTATGAGAGGTATATATATCAACATAAATGTTTACATCAATGTATATTATGGTGATGTGTCTGCAAAAGGTGCATGATATTGTACATATTGATGTTGTATCTTATCCCATAAATTTAATCTTAAAGCTAAGTAACCTCAAAAATCACAGCACTTGTGATTTCACTTCTTTGTAGACTTGTCTAGAATCCATGATATGATAAATCATTTGATTGGAAATGTAAATGTAGTCATGAAATGCACCTGCTTAGTCAAGATTCCCCTAATAAATATTCAAATGCATCACAAAGTTGTACATGTATGAATAATGTTCTTTCGCGTGTTATGTTTTGAAGAGAAGCAATAAGGAATATCATAAAGTCATTAATATCAGCAGGAGATGACGTGTGATTTGCTGTAAATGAGTAAAGGGAAAATGAATCAAGAAGGTAACCAACTGTTGCATTTGTTCTCATTTTTTTGTACTCAATATACCATCGAACTTGTTGTTTGTGTTCACCGTAACCCTTTGACCAACTATCACATGTCAAAAGTCGGTCAAAAAGGTTATGGTGAACACAAACAACAAGTTTGATAGTATATTGAGTAAAAAAAATGGAAATAGACCAAATAAAAACAAACGTAACAGTTAGTTACCTTCTAGAGCCATTTTCCCTAAAAATAATATAAAAAAAAACATTTAATTTCTACAAAAATAAATTACCCCGTTTTATTTGCAACATGTTTCATGAGTCATCATGGAAGCGTTATTGCCTCGTCATGCTTATCCAGTCTCCCTTTGACAGCTGGATCCCTCTAATCCCTCACGTGTCGTCTCTCTAACCTTACCCATCCGCAGCCACCCCGGCACCGCCATTCTCCCCCACCACTCTCTCGCGGCGGTCTTTGTCCCCCAAATACCCAAATTTGGAATCATTGGATATACCAACTTGCTAAATTAACCAAACCAAGTTTTCACCTTTCGCATCTCCTTCAATCTCTCACGTAATTTCGAATTTTCTCGACTAAATTCGCACAATTTCGCCGGATTTCATCCTTACCAGTACGACTGCCGTTCTCCACCTCGCATCTCCGTTTAAAGCGGCGGAAGAGCAGGTCAGAATTTCTTTCTTCCATGTATGCCTCTATATTCGCATGGATAACATACACACATCAAGCATGTCAAAGTATGTGTTGATTTACTGATCGAATTAAAGGAGCTGGATGTGATCGTCATTTTTGGATAATTGTGGTTTAAGTAAAAGCCTAGAATTTTCATTTATTTTTGATAATTGTGGTTTATGTACTTCATAGAAGAAATTTGCGCTAAATTGATGAAAATAGGGGAAACTGTTATTCTTTTACCACTTGGCCTTTGGCCACTTTCTGATTATTCTTTTATCCATGTCATCGCCATGTCATCATCTCCAATCTTTCATGTAATTATGCAGAAGATATTATAAAGATATAAAGAGTCCACGTCACCAATTTTTTTGGCAGCATTTTGATATTTGATCCCGTGGTTTCATGGGGGCTGAGGAACAAAGCTCACCCGCCAAGCATTCAAAGCCTACTTCAACTCATGTTTCCCATTATTATTATTATTATTTTATTTTTATTTTTTTTGCATGATATAAAGTTTTCTCATTTCTGTGATTAATTGATTATAATTAGCAGTTATTTTATTTTCTTAATTATAGGAAACAACTCTCAGGTGTGTGTAAATTTTAATAAACAATGATTATTAATTTTATTTTAAATGATCCAACGATTTTTTTATGACATTTTATTCAGGCATGTTGTAGCTCTGGATTTGCTCCACCTTTCTTTGCCTCATCTCCAGCTCCTCCGTATATGTGGGGTGGCCAGGTGATCATCTCCACTTGCATGTAAAATCTTGAGTGTGTGTTTGGTTTGCGGATTCCGACGGAATCGGAATCTTGAATTCCATTCCGTAGTTTGTTGCCAAACCAACGGAATTGAATTCGTGGAGATTCTTTCACAATCCATACTTGAGAGATTTCATCGTTCCTAAAAGAGGGTGGGAAGAATTGAGTTTCATTCTTTTTTTTTTTATTAGAAAACCAAATTATTAGGCCTCTTAAACTCATTACAAAACAAATTGATAAAGGGCATTTTGGTCATATTACATAATTTACAATCTTATTTAGATATGATTGAATTCTTAGTTTCCTGCCAATCAAACACATCACAGATTACAATTTCTTCATATTCCACTTCGGTCAGATTCCAATTCCTTTGACAGATTCCGTTCCTTTCACAAATGGATAAAGGGCATTTTCGTCATATTACATAATTTACATTCTTATTTCAGCATCCTATGATGCCACCATATGGGACGCTGGTTCAATACCCTACTATGTATGCTCCACCAGGAATTTATGGTCATCCTAGTATGCCTATGGTAAAGAAAATACCGTTTATTTATTTATTTATTTTTTTTCTAGAACGGATTGATGTTAATTGAATTCTCTTTTTCTTTTATTTTTTATCCTTCCAGACCCCTAGCCAACCGAATCCAGAATTGGAAGTGAAGGCTTCTAATGTGAAGGACAAGGCTCCAAACAAAAAGCCCAAGGGCAATTCGGGAAATTCCAATGCCGGTGGTGGTAGGGCAGCATCAAGTTCAGGGAACGATGGTGCCACCCAAAGGTTTGCAAACTTGAACTTTAAGTAGCTTTTGGTGGAACGGAATTGGAATGGCTAATTCCGTTGGAATGAAAATAAGCTGTTTGTTTTGTTTTGCCTGATGGAATGGAATGGAATCTGATTCCTTTCCATTTTGTAAATAATAATTCATATAATAAAATCATATACAAATAGTGTTAAAACTTAAAACTATATTCAAATTCAAATTCAAATTTATTCGGTTTCTACAGCGCTGAAAGTGGAAATGACATTTTGTCAGATGGAACCGCTGAGGATGACCGACAGGTATACATTCAACATTTTATTTTTTAATTTATTAAAAAAATTTACATTTTCTTTTATGTATTGACTTATCGAATCAATACATTCAGGAATATTCCGGAAGCAAGAAGGGAAGCTTCCATCAAATGCTTGCAGATGGTGATCCTACAAACTTTTTACCTTCACATCTCCATAGATTTCAAATTTATCATAAAATTTCAATTCCATTTCCGCAGCAAACGCCCGGAATAACAATTCCGTTTCCAACATTCAGACGCCAGTCCCCGGGAATCCTGTAGCTTCTATGCCTCCAACCGAGCTCAACATGGGAATCGACCTATGGAATCCATCCACCGGAACCGGATCCATGAAATTACAAAAAAACCATTCCGGTGTCCAACAAACATTGGCCCCACCACCAATGATGTCAGATCATTGGGTTCAGGTATACCTGAAGCCTGTCTAGGGTTTAGGGTTTAGGGTTCAGGTTTACTGATAAACAGATCTCTTTTAGGATGAACGGGAACTTAAAAGGCAGAAGAGGAAGCAATCTAATAGAGAGTCGGCTAGAAGATCTAGATTGCGTAAACAAGTAATGAAAAATGAAATATTTAAATTGGAATGCATTTAATTATTTTTAATTTAGACTTTATTTTGGTAATGTATTTTGTTCTTTTTTTAGGCCGAGTGTGAAGAACTACAAGCAAGAGTAGAAGCATTAAGCAGCGAAAACCACTCACTTAGGGATGAACTTCGAAGGCTTTCAGAGGAATGCGGGAATCTTACATCTGAAAATAATTCAATAAAGGTGCTTTTACTAATTTGATAATAAAAAATTACTTTCAATGATGCTAATGAAAGAGGACATTTACGTCTTTTCACAGTCTACTATCCCATCTGGAAAAAAATACAACTTTTTGTCGCATCAACATCAGTCCCAGTCTGTCTTATTCTACTTTTTGAGTTGTTGACATACTAATATACCATTTATTTGTACATGTCTATTTTTGTAATTACGTTTTTTTATTGGTTGAATAGGATGAGTTGACTCGATTTTTCGGACACAAAGCTTTGTCAAAACTTGATACACAACTTCAATCTCAAACAAGAAAAGGTGATGGTTAACAGCATGATGAAAAAATTTGTTATAAAAGCTTACTATACAATTAGGTCAACAACCATTTTCGAGTCTTGAGAGAAGGAATTGACTTTAGGATTGATGGAGGAAGTGTGACATGTTGTGGTTTGCACCTTTTTATGCTCTTATACACTACACGGGTAAACCTTTTTTAACCAATGTTACATGTCTATTAGAACTTTCATATATAGAACTTTTAGTCTTTATGATTGGTGGTGTTATTGTTGTAGAAGTTAGAAGTTTATTGATAGATGATTATTTTGTTCTCTTTTTAACTTGTGTTTTTTGTTTGATATGATTATTATTCCATTTTGTTACTTTTTTCATCTTCAGTTTGGGGAGAGGAGAAGGAAAACTGATTATTGATATGTTTAGTTGATGTTCGTTGCATTTTGGGAGTGTAAAAGTAGTATTGGTTTGGTGAATAGAATTGGGGAAAAAAGTCCATATTTTAGCCCAAAAGTTCAGCCGAGTAGCTTTCAAAAACAATTCAAATGGTCTTGAACCTTAACCCAATAGATGTAACATATTGAAGAAAGCATAAATGTACATTAAAATAATAGTCAAGTTTCAACTTTAGTGCTTCGCCAAAGATATAAACCATGAGTGTACATTTAAAAAAAAAAAAAAAAAATACAGTAAGAAACAATCCAAATGGTCTTAAGCCTATTGTAGGAAACATAAGTGTACATCTAAGGATTTCTATTTAGATAAATGATATGCCAACGGAAAGGTGAGTTTGCCCATGTAAAAACATTAACACCCGAAGTTGTATGCCACGGCTATGGTGTCGAACATTTCAGGCTAAGCATCTATTTGGTCAGTGTATATCGCTCAATATTAACCATTCAATAGCTAATGTAAAAATACGAGAAATCTACTTAAAAAAAAAGACAAAACTGCAAATTTGGTCCTTGTGGTTTTCAAAAACCTTTGGATGGGATCCAAAAAGTTTCCAACTTGCATGGAAGGTCCAAAATCAAGGTTTTTCTAGGTTTTTGGTCCAAAAAAACTTAAAAAGACGATTATGCCCTTTTATTTTATTTTTTTAATTTTTTATAACTATTCTAATGTTGTTTTAATTAAAAAATAAAGAATAAATAAAAAAAGTATCCCCACCCCACCCTCTCTCTCTGTCTCGCTCGCTTCGTCTCTCTCTCTCTCTCTCTCTCTCTCTCTCTCTCTCTCGTCTTTGTTTCTATTGTTCTGAAGTGTAATTCCTTCTTCAACTGCATCAAAATCAATTCTCGATCCAGTGAAGAAGTTTTGGGAAAAAGAAAAAAATACGATACCCACTTCTTCTTCTTGATCATATCATAGGTGGAAATCAAAATCAAACCTACAACAAATCAAAATCAAACCTTACCATCCCACTACTCAATAAAACCACCAAAATTTTGTTGGCTCCACCTCGAGGTTCTTACCTACCTGCTCCAAGCCTTTGAGGTGTTGATTATAGTCCCAATCTGAATAGAAACAAAAGTTCATACTGAGGTCGTCGACCAGAGAGGAGAGATTCAGAAGGTGCTTTAAATTAAAGTGGATCGAATTTATAGATAAAACGAGCTCATATTTATTCTCTCTGTACCACCGGCAGCAACACCTTGCGAGAGAAGATGAATACCATTGGTCGTCGGAGCTCTCAATACACTCAGATGTAGGTTTGAGGGCATAGATCTATGCCACACATTGTCCCCACGACCTTCGACGAGCACCTTTGATCGCGTTTTGTAACAAACACCCATTTCAGATGGAGAACGAGATGAGAGAGGGATAGGAAGAAAGTGGAGAAGATTAGAGTTGGAGTTTTGGGTGTCGGAAATGCAAATGTGCAGTGGTGGCTGAAGAGGGGTATAACGAAGATGAAATGCATTGATTAAGATGGAGTTACAATTCTGAAAGTAGGGTTATTGACGGCTCCGGTGGTTTCGGTGGCGGCGAGAATGAATCCACAGGTGGTTCAATTTTGAGATATCAATTTTCTTTTGAGAGATGGCGTTCAGGAGAGAGAGAGAGAGAGAGAGAGAGAGAGAGAGAGAGAGAGAGAGAGAGAGAGAGAGAGAGAGAGAAGGATGTGAAAGAGAGAGAGAGAGAGAAAGACGAAGAGAGAGAGAGAGAGAGAGAGAGAGAAGGTGGGGGTGGGGGATACCTTTTTCTTTTTTCTTTATTTTTTAATTAAAACAACATTTGAGTATTTATAAAAAATACAAAAAAGAAAATAAAAGTGCATAATTGTCTTTTTAAGTTTTTTTGGACCAAAAACACAGAAAAACCTTTATTTTGGACCTTCCATGCAAGTTGGAAACTTTTTGGACCCCATCCAAAGGTTTTTGAAAACCACAAGGACCAAATTTGCAGTTTTGTCTAAAAAAATTTTATGGTTACGCTGTATAATCGATTTCTAATTTATCTATATTTTTAGTCGATTAATTTCTAAAAACGGAAAAATATATTCATTTTGACAATTTTACCGGTCAACAGACCATTCAACTTTCAAAAATGATACTTTTAGCGCAGATTATAAATTTTATTATAAATTTGGTCCAAAATTTATGTTTTTTTGCCTATATTTTAAATTTTATTATAAACTAGGTCTAAAGTTTACACTTTTAACCCAAATTTAAAAATTTTGTTACAAATTTGGTTTAAAATTTACACTTTTAACCTAGATTTCGAAAGTTCCACAAATTCACCCTAAATTTAGATTTTTTAAAACTTTTTTTTTTTTCAAAATTTTGTTTCGTTTATCTTTTTTTCTTTATAAAATCATATTTATACAAAACATATTTTTCTTATAAAAACTTTTTTTATATATATAAAAACTTTTATAAATATGTTTATTTTATAAAAAAATATATACAAACTACGGGTGTGCAATAAACCGCATAAAACGGCCGCACCGCACCAAATCAAACCATACCGCATAACGCGGTTTAAAACACTTGTGGTGCGGTTTGTATTTTTGTTAAACCGTATTATGCGGTGCGGTTTGCGGTTTACGATTACCAAATTGCTGTTCAAACCGCACCGCGTTGATAAAATCAGTTAACGATTATATATATATATATATATATATATATATATATATATATATATATATATATATATATAGGGTTAGATTATCTTGTTTTTAGTAACTATTGTGTGTCAGAATGCACAGATCTGGACCATTGGATGGAATATAATCAAATATCATGATCTGAAGGTCTATGATAGTAGAATAGGATAACATGTATCATATAATCACATAAATTTGAGCATAAGGGCATTCTAGTCAATTAAACTATATTAGAAAAGGAAATTTTCGAATTTTTAAGGATAATTAATTCATTTATTTTTAAAAATCTAAATATTTTAAATTAATTTAAAATTAAAAATCCGATTTTTATTCTGTCAAAATGATAGAATTTTAACCATAAAGTAGTAAACATATTTTTCGATTTGATTATGTCAGAATGACAGAATGTCAACCATAAACTAGTAAATATATTATGAAAGAATACACAAAATCGATTCTTGAACTATTAATATACCAAATAATTACATTGTACGATTGTGATTCATTGAATTATAACAAACATTCTTAAAGAATAATAAGTATAATTCTTAAAAAATAACAACATTCTAGATGTCTTGTGTATGTTTGACCTCTAAGCCAATTCAAAATATGTTAGCATTCTATGAGATTGACATTTTGTGACATTGACATTCTGTCAGAATTGTATTGCATGAGAATGATTTTATACAAGGAGCCTTTCCCATCAGATCTTCAAGCCATTCTTCAAGCCATTTCTATCACAAATTTATTGTCAAATACTTTGTAATGATACACTTGTAACAACTGGACATTAAACATATAATTAATTAACTACAAATTATATCAGAATAAAGCAATAATATTCTTATATAATAAACTATTCTTTCAGAATGGAAAATATTATAAAAAGGTAAACAAGGCCAAAGCTATGATCAACCCATATGTTTGTTTGCTTCAACATCATAAACATAAGGAAAAGTCAGTTTGCTTCAACATCAAATCTATGATTAGGATAGATGTTTGCTTCAACATCATAAACATAGATTGAATCATCAATACTTCCAGCTACAAGTTCTCTGACATCAAAGAATGGTATCTCTGAATTTCTGAAAAAATTAAAAAATTAAAAAAATCCAATTCAAAAAACTTAATCAAAGATCAATAAATTTCATGTAAACTTACCAATATCTCCTCATTAACCATTGATTCCATTACTAACCATGAATACAATCTGAGGCTATCATATTTCTCTTTGGCATTTCATCAAACACTTTAAGGGCGCTCCCTAAATAACCACATTTTCTATGAATCATGAATGAAAAAAAATCAATTCAGAACCATCAACATCAAATGAGTTACACAGGAGGGTATACCTCCTATGCTTGGTTTCCATACGATCGAAGAAAAAAAAAAGCATAAATGGTTATATGGCTTCGTTTTGATTGAAAATGGTAGAACCCCCATTTTTTTTAACCACAGCCATTGAATCATTATTGTAACGAAAACCTGTGAACAAACATAGAATCAAATTCCAATTCCAATTCAGTCTTGAACAGACGGTTGAAGCAAACCCATCTTTGAAGTCTTCTAAAAATGTCGTCCACATTCATACTTATTGGAGGACATGAAGAGTTGAGCGATGTGTACCAGGCGGGAAACGAAGGTGAAGGGTAGACATCAGCAACGGCTTAAGCAAAGGTTACAACCTCCTCATTTTGATTTCATCCTCCCTGTAGGTGAAAAAGAAGAACTGTAGGAAATATAAAAGAGGATAGAGAGAGACTAGGTCAAATGTATTTACTTTATTTCCTTAATTGCAAGATTTCAATTAAATGATTTCCTTAATTAAAAGTACAAAAGATCCAAAATACCCTTTATTGATTTACTTAATTATTTATTATTTCTTAAATTCTTATTGGTGCATTTAGGCACACAATAATTGCTAGAAACATTTGAACATAACTCTCTCTCTCTCTCTCTCTCTCTCTATATATATATATATATATATAGGGTTAGGTTCATGTGAGACAGCCTAATTTTGTGAGAGCGTGAGATACAT